CCCCCCCACACACACACACACACTTTTTTAATGCTGTTGGGGAGATTTCCCTTCACTTCCTGTTCTGACCCCCGTCAAAAAGAGAGGAACTGGGGAAATCTCTTTTTTAATGTCTAGGGTTCTAACAGACACCCTAATGTTACCTTAAAGAGCACCTGTCATCACTAAAGTGCTATCATATTGGATGCTTGTGAACCCCCACGTGATAGCAATATAGTTAAGTAAAAATAAAAAATAAAACATTTAAAAAAACATCCAAAAAAATGTTTAAAAGTCCTCTGTCCCCGCGTACACGTACATACTAACACAAACAATCTTCAGGTGTGTCTATGTATGAAAATGACCATTGCAACACACAAGTTAGGTATTGCAGCACACGCCTGAGCTGATAATTTCAAGCCAATATTCACAACTCTAAACTGATGACCTGTACAGACTTTTAAAACATTGCCTATGGACCATTTAATGTACTGTAGTTTTTTGCCAATTCACAGGCGCACACAATTTTTACGCTTGTCATGCTGGGTATCAATTGACTCGGCACAACCTCCTCTTTTATATTCTACAAAAATATTGGGTATTTTCTTGTGTTTTTATCCACTAAAATTAACTTAAGTGCTGGTTCGCACCTGGGCGTTTTACAGCTAAAAACGAGCTGAAAAACAAGCTGCAAAAACGTGCCTATAGTACACCCAGGTGTGAACCCAGCCTTAGTGTATTTATTACTGAAATTTTGGGTTTGATAAACTGTTATGCTAATATCATGCAATATTTTTAAAAAATGCTCCCCAGTGGCACTGACAGAAGGAGAAAAAAAAAAGTCCTAACCATTCCCAATTTATCCCAAATTAAAAAAGGAAGGTTTTAATTTTAAATATATGCTCTAAATAAAAAGACTTCAGAACTGAGTTGGTTGAGGTTTTGCAATTGTAATTAATGCTGTAAAATTGGAGTAACAAATTAGGAATTTGCCCTCCTTTGTTGTAGGTGATGGTCACAAACCCTGATGGTTCTCCAACTCGTGGCGTCCCTGTGGTGGCCCAACCTGGACAGTTAAGAGGGATAACACAAGACGACGGGACTGTCAGACTGACCCTCAACACAGAAACAAATATAAATTCTCTGCAAATAATGGTAAACAAAATGCAACAAAGGTGTAAATATTTGATTTCATGTGTCTACATCTGTCTTTGTCTTCACTTATAGCAAGGCGATGTTTGTTACAGGCAGTCTGTATTTTCTACATCCTATAGGTATGTGTAGGGCAGCCTATCTCAACCAGGCACACTGGGGTGCTTTCTGACTTCCTCAGGGGTGCCTTGAAGCTTTGTGATAGTAGGACTCTGATGTGAAAGGGGATGGGTGGAACTCTGATATACAGGGGGCTCTGATGTGAAGGGGAGCTCCTGATGTGAAGGTGGGCTCTTGATGTAAAAGGAGAGCATTCTGATAGTAAAGGGGCTCCGATGTAAAAGCGGGCTCCTGAGGTCAACGGGGCTTGTAATGTGAAGAGGGCTACTGATATGAAGGGGGGCTTGTGATGTGAAGAGGGCTACTGATATGAAGGGGGGCTTGTAATGTGAAGAGGCCTACTGATATGAAGGGGGGCTTGTGATGTGAAGGGAGACTTTGATGTAAGAGTGGAAGACTCTGATGTGACGGAGGGAACTGTGATGTAAAAGGAGGGGGCTTCTAATGGGGGGCAACATCACCCCGCCGTGATGTTGCCATGCGCGTGTGCGGTGACGTCATCGCTCATGCGCGGTCATCTTATTGACGCCTGCTGGTGGCCATCTTGGTGATGGATGCCAGCATAGAGAGGAGGGGACGTTCACCCGTCGGGATGAGGTATGCTGACGGGTCCCCTCCTCTCTCCTGACACTGTCGAGCTCTCGGTCAATGAACGAGTGCCCGACTTTTCAGAGGGAGTGACACCAAAATGACTGTCAGTCATTTTGGTTTCACCCCTCCAATGGTGGCATCAGGGAGCTTGCTGCTTCCACATAGAGAGCAAGGGTCCTTTTCTGCAGCATGCTGGCAGGGGAAAGACTTTTCTACCCACGCTCAGAGACTCCGAGAGAAAATGAGCTGTAAGACTTTGATCACCTTTTGCTTTGATCTACATTGAACATATTTAGCTGATCTAAACTTCAATTCAATTTCTATTGGTCTATAAATGGTGATTTATACATTTAAATAGCTGTGAACCATTTATTTAATTTATACTAAAACATTCTAAACATTATATATATATATATATAATACTGTATATACTGTGTGTGTATATACAGTATATATCTATCTATACATTTTTATACATTAATTGTATCATATT